TGAATTATACTGAAGCTTTAAGTGAGCACTGAGCTGTCATTTAAAGCTGACTTTGAGGATTTTGATATCTGAGAGAAAGCTTTCAGTACCATAATTCAGGTTCTGAGGATTTTTAAGAGTATAATTTTTATTATTTCCCACCATGACTGCCTATCCAGTACCTCAAGGCCCCACTCAAATGCTCTCTCCTTAGGTGACCTTTCCTCTCCCATGTCTACTCCTTAACCCTTATTAAATTCTTTACCTAAATCTTAATCCCCTGTTAAGCAAGAATGGTGTCTGCATCTTAACCAGCACCACCCTCGCCCCAGTGCTGAGCTAATGCCTTGAGCATAGAATAGCATCTGCCGCTCTGCTTGGGATTATCTGTCCTCAATACGCCTGTCAGCAGCTTCAGAAATCAAAGAACTAGGAACTTTAAAACTATTATGCAACCCTAGAAGTGTTTTACAGGAATGATTTTCAACATTGTTATTAATGTTTCAAATTTTATAATTAGCAGTTACAGATCTGCCAATGCACAGTCCTGTCATTATAGAACTAAATTACCTCCAATTTCATTTGGAAACTCAAGTACAGTAAGACACCCATTACAGCCTGGTGTTTCGCATTTTACCTCTTTTCCATCTGGCCCCTGCCCACACTCTATGCTCTAGCTCCGGAGTCATCTTGTAATCTGTACAGTACAGAATCTGCTTTTCCTAAAAGTGATGTCACATGGACAGTCCCCAAGTCGTTTTTAAATTGTCTTTGTGGACTGATTTTGCATCAGAAGAGAATCATCAGGACACCCAGTTCCATGCAGGCTGGAGAGCTCTCCTCTGGCATCATTTCACTAGATCTCCTCAACCCAGGACCTTTTCAACAGGGTTTGCGCTTCCTCCTTGTTTAGTAGTGGTAAGTATGTCACGGTGTTGATGAGATAATGCACCCCAAAACTTCTTATTTAAGAAATAACTGCCAGAACTTTGGGAGGCTGAGGTGGGTGGGTCACTTGAGGTCAGGGATTTGAGACCAGCCTGGCCAACATAGTGAAATCCCATCTCTACTAAAAATACGAAAATTAGCCAGTGTGGTGTCAGGCACCTGTAATCCGAGAATTGCTTGAACCTGGGAGGCAGAGGTTACAGTGAGTTCAGATCACACCACTGCACTCCAGCCTGGGTGACAGAGGGAGGCTCGATCCCAAAATAATAATAATCATAATAATAAAGAAAAAAAAAATACTGGTCTAGGAGAGGTAACCCAAGCTTTGATTTTTTTTTTTGTTTTTAGGTGAGGGGTGTTCTGTGGGGAAGAAACCCATACTTTGGTGGAATTTTGAGAGGAATCTTTAAACAGTAGACAAGCCTAGTTCAAAACTAACAGATTATTTTTCTTGGAACCTTCATTTTCCACATCCTTAAAATTAAGGACTAATGTTATTTGTAGGGTACTTCCTTAGACGTTTTATTTATGCAAATATGTTCACAAGTTTTGTGAAAATGTTCCTCATTTCCAGTATGGTTAACATAAAAAGAAGAAGTAGTGAAGTAGTCTCTGTAAGGCTGTTCTCTTCCTGTCCAGTGCTGGAGCTTGAAGCCCATAGGGCAGGTAGTCAGAAAAGATGTGGAGTTGGGGAGAACAAACTGCAACCCACAGGCATGGGCTAGAGCCCATGAGGATGCTAAAATCTGTCCATTTTTGTTGCTTCTGACCTTGATGGTGTGGGCATTCTGCTGAAACAGACCCTTTGCAGAGGAGCTGAAGGAAGATCCATCCAGGGGAAGGTGGAGTGGTTGCAGGCCCAGGCACAGGTGTGGTTCACACCAGCAAGGTATGCCAGCTACTCAAGGGCTGCTGCTGCATTGGACCCTGCAGATCTGGCATAGGAATTTGTGGCTCATCCTAACCTGAGACATAGGGAAGAGAGTTGGGAAATGTAGTTCAGTCTAGCCAAGTTGAAAAATGACAAAGCTACCAGTGGCTGTCATAGGATGGTGGGATTTCAGGTGATCTTTAGATTATTACATGTTATTACCTCACAATGAGCATGTATTATTTATATAATAAAGTCTGAAAAAACAGAAAGCTGTTTTTTTTGAGACGGATTCTCGTTCTGTTGCCCAGGCTGGAGGGCAGTGGTGCAATCTCGGCTCACTGCAACCTCTGCCTACTTGGTTCAAGCGATTCTCCTGCCTCAGCCTCCCAAGTACCTAGGATTACAGGCATGCACCAGCATGCCTAGCTAATTTTTGTATTTTTAGTAGAGATAGGGTTTCACCATGTTGGCCAGGCTGGTCTCCCAACTCCTGACTTCAGGTAATCTGCCAACCTTGGGGCCCCCCAAAGTGCTGGGATTACAGGTGTGAGCCACTGTGCCGGGCCCATGGAGCTATTTTCTTTGGGGATAAAAATGGGAGTTATAAGAATTGGAGACTCACTATTAAGAATAAAGAGAGAAACCATGTATTTTATAGGTGAATATCATAGCTTTTATCTGAAAGAGGTATAAACAAAGATGCCCATGTTCTAATTCTTTTGCTACCTAACAGTTGTTGACATTGGCCCCAGGCCCTAAAAAGTAATCAAGATGCACAATGAAGTACTATAAGGAAAACAAGCTTCACTATCACTGTGTGTCTTCAGTGCAGAAACACAATCTGTAAGTTACACCATCCTTCACAGTCTAAGAGGTGCTGCTGTAGATGATGTAACTGATAGCAACATCAGAGTTGGGCTCTTAGGGATTCTCTCCCCTCAGACACCCGAGTCCCTTTTTGTAGTGTATAAAAGATGGTGTGTTGACAGATTATAAACACACTGAGATAAAGGAGACACTAACAAGCACATTTTTAACATTTGTGAGGTATTCTAAGATTTAGATTTGGCTTTCCATAATTGGAAAATTGGCCTTGGATGGTACCTACAGCCATGAGTCTCAAACTATTTTCCAAGGTTGGCATACATGACAGTGTCACCTACCTAAGCACTTTTCCCTGGCTCTTCCTGAAGTTATGCCACTGACACCCTTTCTCCTCCCTCATGAAAACACAACAGAAGGCAAGTGAGATGACCTTCAGTCAGCTGGAACATAGAAAAGGCAAGCTGTGACATAAAGCATTAGTAACAAAGTATTCGCAGTCCCACTTGAGTGCTGCTACACTATGGTTAAAAAATTGTGGTCTCCAGCCTGGCCAACAGGGTGAAACCCAGTCTCTACTAAAAATTTTAAAAAATTAGCTGGGTGTGGAGGCGGGTGCCTGTAATCCCAGCTACTCAGGAGGCTGAGGCAGAATTGCTTGAACCCAGGAGGCAGAGGTCACACTGAGCCGAGATCATGCCACTGTACTCCAGCCTGGGCCACAGAGTGAGACTCCGTCTCAAACACGCACACACAAAATTGTGGTCTCCAAAATAGTATGGTGTAAAATGGTTCGTTACCATATGCATAAGGGAAGACAATGTTAGAACTAGTTCTAGATATTTCTTTTTATCTCATCATTTAAAAATTAGTGTTTTATAACAGTACTAATATTAGTACTAATGGAACTAATATTGCATGCGTAATATTACTACATGCGTAAAATATATAAATATATTTACATAAATATAAAAATTTTAAAAATATATAAATAAATAAATATCCATATCAAGGGCATACCTGCTAAAACATTTCTTAACTGGCTGGGGTACAGAATTAAACCTTTTTGAAACTAAACCTAAAAGACAAAGCGAAACTCATTTTCATTTAAATGCAAACTTCAGGAAAGAATGAATATTCAAAGTTTTAGGAGATGAAAGAGAAGAGTGGTTAAGAAGTTTAAAGGCCCAGTGCTTTTTCTATTAATTAGTAAAACCCACACTAAATGCTACTGCAAAAGCCAAAAATAAATGTAAAAAAGAGAAAGGAAGGAGACTGTGTTGGGATGGAATGAGAACAGCATCTTTCATCCACCCATGCATACCCACACATAGGTAATTATGATATAACTCCCTGGAACAGTTCAAGAAAAAAATTAACAAGATGCACAGCCTCTTGGCATTCTGATGTGGCTTTTTAGCATTCCATCTCTTAAAATAAAAAGCAGGCCGGGCGCGGTGGCTCACGCCTGTAATCCCAGCACTTTGGGAGGCTGAGGCGGGTGGATCACGAGGTCAGGAGATGGAGACCATCCTGGTGAACACGGTGAAAGCCCGTCTCTACTAAAAATACAAAAAAATTAGCCGGGCATGGTGGCGGGCGCCTGTAGTCCCAGCTTCTAGGGAGGCTGAGGCAGGAGAATGGCGTGAACCCGGGAGGCGGCGGAGCTTGCAGTGAGTGGAGATCGCGCCACTGCACTCCAGCCTGGGCGACAGAGCAAAACTCCAGGATGGAAAGGCAGTGGGCACTTGGAAGTGACTACACATGGCAATAAGCAGCCTATCTTCTTTACCAACCAGAAGTTTCTTGGGGCATGGGATGGTAGGCCAAAGCAGTAATACTACACATTGTCTAAGCCTACACTGTCCTGTGAGAGTCATGGTGGAACAAGGCCACAGGCAGTGGGAGGAAATGTGATGACTCACTGTGTCAGAATTCTAAGGCCCAGCATGATCAGGATGTAAGGCTCTGTAATTTTCTAAACCAGCATGATTGAGAAGAACAAAATCTGCAATCATTTTTTTTTTTCCCTTCTTTTTTTTGAGACAGAGTTTCACTCTTGTTGCCCAGGCTGGAGTGCAATGGCACAATCTTGGCTCACTGCAACCTCTGCCTCCTGGGTTCAAGCAATTCTCCTGTCCCAGTCTTCTGAGTCGCTGGGATTACAGGAATGTGCCACCAACCCCAGCTAATTTTGTATTTTTAGTAGAGACGGGATTTCTCCATGCTGGTCAGGCTGGTCTTGAACTCCCGACCTCAGGTGATCTGCCTGCCTTGGCCTCCCAAAGTGCTGGGATCACAGGCATGAGCCACCATGCCCGGCTGCAATAACTTACGAGTTTTTCTAAAAAAACCGAAACGCTGGAAACATGGATGAATCATAAAGACTTTATGCTAAGTGAAACCAGTTACAAAAGGACAAATACTGAATGATTCCACTTATATGAGAAATATGAGTAGTGAAGTTGATGACAGAGACAAAAAGTATGGCTGTTGCTAGGGGAAGAGGGGTGGGGAGTTATTGTTCAATGGGCACAGAATTTGGGAAGATGGAAAAGTTCTGGTGATGGATGATGGTGATGGCTGGACAAGGGGAATGTACTTAATCCACTGAATTGCATATTTAAAAATGGGTAAGCTGGTCAATTTTATGTTATAAATATTTTACCTCAATAAAAAAAAGATTGAAGTTAAAAATTCACTGAAGAAGCCAATATGGAAAAAGAAGGACTCAATGTTTTAAAAAAGCCAACTTTTTTTTTTTTAGTCAAGAGATAAGTATGTAGCTCCAAGCTCAAGGTCTTGGTTGAGGACAATCATTATGAGTCCTAGTAAAAGACAACCAGTTTTAAGAACACTGTCAGGCAAGCTACCATGTAGCTCTCCTTGACTCCATGCTTAGCTCTTCCAGACTTCCCAGTACTGACGAAGGGTCACGTTTTTGTTCAGCTTTGTCCAGTGCTGTCATTCATAATATATGAATGAAAAGTCCCAGAAACCTGTTCTGTTTGGGAAGGTTTTCTTTTGTTCCAGGCTTCGGTGGTTAATATGCTTGACAAATTTCAGAGTCTCTCTATCTCTGTAGACCAATGCCAAAGAATTGTTTTCTGGATTCACTGTTAGCAGCTGAAAAAGAAAAATACAATGACACATCAGAACATAGAACTTATTCTCAACTCTTGGATGATTAACCATGGAACAGATGGTTTCCATACCAAGCACTTCATCTGGGGATAGAGGGGTCCTCTGAATGAACCTTTACTAGGGGTGGCTGTCAAGCCATTTTCCAACAAGCCCTATTCCAGCATATACCTAGAAAGGTACTTACCTATTACATTTATTTCTTATACATTGTAAAATTTGTGGCAATGCACAAGGCTCTTAATTTGGAATTTCTCAGGAGGGTAAAATAAATGCTTACTGAGTATCCTTTAGCATCTTTATTCCATGTTGAGTATTTTCTACTAGAAATTAGAACCATTGCCTGGCAGACCAACAGATTTATTAGCTAAAGATATTGGTAAAAGGTCATAAAAATTGGGTCTTGGAAAATGAAAGCATTCTCAATAACTAAAAAGGATAGTTTGCTATCAGAAGAAACTTACCTCTTCATCTTCACCTTTGGCAATGTAAGAAGTAAAACCACCATATTCTGGCTCCCAGCCTTACAAGAGAAAAACAAATAGCATTCAGAAAGCCCTCATTGCAAGAGTTGCATCATCTGTTTAAATCACTGATCCCATGCTGCTTAACAGTGGGCAATCTGGGAATTCAGCAGTAACTGGTTCTATGACTTATGAGCTTGAACTTATTATCATCTAGTTTGTCATGGATTCCCTTCCCCTAAATGCCTAATTTCCTGAGACAGTTGAACTGAAATGCAGACTTATTTCAAAAAACTTTGAATAAGAAAATTGAGAGAATTAAATGCTAAATATTTTCCCAGAAAGGCAATTACATAAAATCTATAGATCTGGGAGCACACTTAAGGGAAAATTATGGCATGGTCCATCTCCCCATTCCCTAGTCACAGATATAAATCCTATTTTGAACTGGGAGACTGGAACTCATGACCCCTAAAATCCCTTCGACTTTGAGATCCCGTGATCTGAGATTCTGAACTAGGCAAATTACTTATGAATTGGTTCAGCTGGAAAGGGTCCCTCAGAAGAGACTGCCCCTCCTATGGGGAATAATTCACTGCTTGCTTTCCACTCTCTTACCTTCACAGCCACAGTAGAGAATTAAGTCTAGGGCAAATTCAGCCTTGCTATGGTCATGAATTAAAGTGTAGTGACCGGTCTTCCAACGCCTCAGTTCCCCTTGGCATGTGGGGACACTTGATTCTAAGAAGGAAAAAAAAAAGAAGGATGAGCAACTTTAAAAAATAACCTTGATAGAACTGTTAGATTGTAAGGGAATGATAATTAGGAATGATACAGCAATACAGGGAAACCATTCCTTTCAAACCTTTGATTGAAGTGCTATTCTACCAATCCAGCCTTATAAAAGATTGTCAGAAATTACCAGCTCTATTTTGGGGTAAAAAAGTTGAATTTTGGGCCGGGCACGGTGGCTTATGCCTGTAATCTCAGCACTTTGGGAGGCCGAGGCAGGCGGATCACCTGAGGTCAGAAGTTCAAGACCAGCCTGACCAACATGGAGAAAACCCGACTGTACTACAAATATAAATTGCAGGCGTCGGTGGTGCATGCCTGTAATCGGCTGACCCGGGAAGGCTAAGGCAGAGGATTGCTTGAACCAGGAGGCAGAGGTTGTGGATAGCTGAAATTTTGCCATTGCACTCCAGCCTGGGCAACAAGAGTTAAACTCCATCTCACCAAAACAAAAAAAAAAAAAAAAAAGGTGAATTTTGATTTCTCTCTATAATAATAAATTTCAGATGGAAAAGAAGTCTAGTTGCAAAAATATATAGTATATAAAAAAAGAACATGATTATTATTTTATCTAACCTTAGAGATTTCTCAGCATGTTATTACCTAAAGTAGAAACCAGGAAAGGCAAAGATAGACCTGATTACTAAAATATTTTATAAAATTTAAACCATGCTGAACAAAATTAAAAAATAAACTATTACAACCTGTTAAACAGAAGGTTAATACTCCTCTGAGGCAGGCAGATCACCTGACGTCAGGAGTTCAAGACCAGCCTGGCCAATATGGCAAAACCCCGTTTCTACTAAAAAATACGAAAATAGTAGCTGGGCATGGTGGCGTGTGCCTGTAATCCCAGCTACTTAGGAGGCTGAGGCATAAGAATCGCTTGAACCTGGGAAGCAGAGGTTGCAGTGAGCTGGTACCATGCCACTGTACTCCAGCCTGGGTGACAGAGCAAGATTCTACCTCAGAAAAAAAAAAGGTTAATACTCCTATATGTAACTTTTTTTTTTTTAATAACTGATAAAATGACAAAAATCCCAAAGGAAAATACACTGAGGTAATGACAGGCAACTCATAAAAAAAAATCAAGTAACCAATAGGGAAAAATATACAACCATGCACCATTAGTCAATGATAGGCAAATGCCATTTTCACCTAAAGAATTAGCAAGTTGGAAAAGAAAATACAAGTTTGCTAGGAAGAATGAAATCATCATCATGTACAATGCTGGTGAGAGTGCAGACTGACACAAGTTTTGGGGAGGGCAATTTGGCAACTGCCTTAAAATTTTGAGCAGTCTTTGATGTATCACCATACTTCTGAGAAGCATTCTGAAGACACAATGGTTGCATCGTTTGTTATGACAGTGAAGAACTGGAAAAAATCTAAATGCTCAACACAGGACTGGTTAAGGTCATCTGATCCAATAGATTGCAGGCATTAAAAATTATACTAGAGAACAGTGTTTTTCAAAACTTTTAGTTGTGGCATACATTCTTGAAATAAAATCTAGAAATGCTATGTTGGAAAGCAGATACATGTAAAACTGCTTTGGTGGGCAGGGCGTGGTGGCTCACTCCTGTAATCCCAGCACTTTGGGAGGCCAGGGTGGGCGGATCATGAGGTCAGGAGATTGAGACCATTCTGGTTAACATGGTGAAACCCCACCTCTACTAAAAATACAAAAAATCAGCTGGGCGTGGTGGCACACACCTGTAGTCCCAGCTACTCGGGAGGCTGAGGCAGAATCGCTTGAACCTGGAAGGCGGAGGTTGCAGTGAGCCGAGATCACACCACTGCACTCCAGCCTGGCAACAAAGCAAGACTCCATCTCAAACAAACAAACAAACAAACAAACAAACAAAAATCCAAAAAACTGCTTTGGTGGAAGGGTTTCCTAAGTGAGGAGGGTGTATAAACCTCTTCTATCATTATAAAGGATGTAAAAGGATGAGAAAGAGGTTTATGAACTATTATGTGGAAAAAAGATTACAGAACAATATATATGTTCTGTTTATTATATTAAAATCATATCATTAATCAATATCATTATATCAATAATCATTATTTATTATCATTAAAAATACATGTGTAAAAATATACCCCCCATATGTGCATACATGTATATGTCTACATAGCAAAAAAAAAAAAAAAAAAAGTGAAAGGATATATTCCAAATGCTAATATAGCCACTTATAGATGATTATTTTCCTTTTGCTTGTTTTCTAAACATTCTGAAATTGACATGTTAGTTTTTTAAAAACATCTTAAAGTTATCAGGTCTGTAATGTTATCTCACTAGATGTGCCCCATCTATGCCAATGTTTAGCACTGCTATCATATGCCCAGCAATTTGATAGTTTTTGCCAAGATTTATAGCTTCTATTCAAGATGGTAAACTTTGTAATCAGTGACGTTTCTCATTCACTTTTGTATTCCCTACTCTGCTTTGGCCCAAGGCCTCTTGTATACAGTAGATGCTCAACAACGGAATAAAGCATCTTTTGGCTGCCCATATAGATTTTATCCTAAGTTGCAGGTTCCCATAAAAATGAAACCAAAAAAGGAATAGAGCTGGACAAGTTCTGGCCAGGTGTGATGGCTCACGCTTGTAATCCCTGCACTTTGGCAGGACAAGATGGGAGGATTACTTGAGTCTAGGGGTTTGAGACCACTCTGGGCAACATGGCAAGATCCCATCTTTACAAAAAAAAAAAAAAAAAAAAAAAAAAAAAAAATCAAGAAAATTAGCTGGGTGTGGTGGCACATGCCTGTGATCCCAGCTACCTGGGATTACTGAGGCAGGAGGATCGCTTTAGCCCAGGTCAAGGCTGCAGTGAGCTGTGACTGCGCCACTGCACTCCAGCCTGGGTGACAGTGCAAGACCCTGTCTCAAAAAACAAAACAAAATCAAACAGAAGTGGATAAGGTTTCTAAAAAATCCCTTTGAGACTGAGACTCCATGGATACTGAGTCTGGTTCTTCTTAGGGTCTGGGCATAAATGCCAGTATCAATTAACACGGAAAACTAATCTTTCAAAGAAAGGCTACCTTGTGTATTAAAATAGCACAGAAAAAGCCACCTGGGTCTGGTTTTTCTAAATATCTGCAGTGGCCAAAGTGACTGGTCAGTCGGTTTTGGAAGGCCACAGAATGAGTTATGTTGCTTTCAGTTAGCATCTCAAACCACTGATTTTGTTTCCCCAAGTATCCACCCCTTGTCTTTGCTCTCCTAACTGCACAGGGTTTTCAAGAAATCTGAGTGGAAGCAGGGAATGGTAAACTGGGTGACAGATATTCTCATCTGACATAGTAATAAGTGCTGAAACATCTAAGCTGAATTTGTCGCTACTTGGTTAATGGTGCCAGTATTTTCACAGGAGTGTTACCTCTTAAATTTCTTGTATTTCTCTCTTCTCCATATTGGTTGCAGATGATTAAACTTCTACTTGTAATAATTTCCTTCTACTTGTTTGTCCAAATTCAAGCAAGTTTTCTTAGGCTGTTACATTCAGATCTGAGTTTAAATGGCACTCCTCAGAGAGGCTTTTCTAGATCACCTATTTAAGAGGCTACTCAGTCATTTCTTTTTCTTTCGTTCTTTTTTTTTTTTTTTTTGAGTTGTAGTCTCTCTCTGTTGCTCAGGCTGGAGTGCAATGGTGCAATCTCGACTCACTGCAATCTCCTCCTCCTCCCCAGTTCAAGTGATTCTTCCACCTCAGCCTCCTGAGTGGCTTGGATTACAGGCGTTCACTACCATGCCTGGCTAATTTTTTTTTTTTTTTTGTATTTTTAGTAGAGACGGGGTTTTGCCATGTTGGTCAGGCTGGTCTCGAACTCCTGGCCTCAGGTGATCCGCCTGCCTCGGCCTCCTAAAGTGCTGGGATTATAGGCGTGAGCCACGGTGCCCGGCCTACTCAGTCATTTCTTGTCATATAACCCTATTACAATGTTTTGCATAGCACTTATCATTACTTGACGTTTTCTTGTTGTTTGTATATATATTTAATCTCTGTCGTCTTCTACCAGAATGTAAGCTCCCAAAGACCACAGACCTTGTCTGTTTTGTTCTTCAGCTCCCGAAATAGGGCTTAGGGCACAGTAGATGCTCAGTAAATGTTTGTTGAATGAATACATGTTTGAATGGTGAATGGTTAATGGTAAGTGAGGACAAATCCTAACAACAGCTTACCTTTCTTTGTTTCATTTTCCTCTGGCTCTGGGTCTGTCTGGTCATTGTTCTGTTGGCTGTTGTTGCTGACGGCTGTCTGATTATTCTCTGGCTCAGGAGGACTATGGCTAGTCCCTTCTTCAGTGCTATCAGCGGCTTCTTCCTCTTTTTTGTCATTCATCTCTTCTTCTTCCGAAGGGGCCAAGAAATGAAGCTTCAGGCCTGTGAAGTTGGAGAGCAGCAAGAATAGTGCCTCAGAGCGAAATAACTTCATGCACTCCTTCAATATCTCAGGAAGCTTACTCTCCTCAGCTTTCTCATAAAACCTGAAAAACAGCAATGTCAAGTTGTTCAGTAGAGCCACAGATGTAAAATGACTCATGGGATAAAAGCTGATCATTAGCTTTGTACCTCTCTTCCTAAATCTTGGCACAGCTTACTAAAGCACAAGTTATTACAATAGTGAGATTTTCTTAGGATTTGGTTAGGACATCCTGCTACTGGATGTCCCTGAGAACAAAACATCATTAGGGCAAGTGTCCTATTATTGGGTGTGAGCTTTGGTGCATGATTGTATATTTTTTCCTGTTGGTTATTTGACTTTCTTTCATGAATTGCCTGTCATCACCTCAGTGTATTTTTCCTTTAGGCTTTTTGTCATTTTACTAGTTATAAAAAAAAGTTACAGGTGCTGAATGTAGAAGCAAATATCTCAGATGACGGGTTCTACCTTTTGTTAGGGGGACCTCGGCTACTCCATTCCACATCTCCATGCTCCAAGGCCTCACAGACTTTTGCGAATTTCTCAGGCTAGAAAATGAGCAGATAAAGCAGCAGTCAGCAGATCTCCCTATTACCCCACACTGGTTTGGCAGGTACAGCAGCTCTGCCAAACATCAATCTGGCTAATTCCGAAAAGGTGCAGTTGATTGTCATTCCTTTCTTTTCTTTTCTTTTCTTTTTTTTTGAGACAGAGTTTCGCTCTTGTTGCCCAGGCTGGAGTGCAATGGCGTGATCTCGGCCCACCACAACCTCCACCTCCTGGGTTCAAGCGATTCTCCTGCCTCAGCCTCCCAAGTAGCTGGATTTACAGGCATGCACCACCATGCCTGGCTAATTTTATATTTTTAGTAGAGATGGGGTTTCTCCATGTTGGTCAGGCTGGTCTCGAACTCCCGACCCTCAGGTGATCCATCCGCCTTTGGATTCCCAAAGTGTTGGGAGTTGGCCAGAGCCACCGCGCCTGGCCGACTCTCACTCCTTTCATACAAGATCCCCTACTCCTGCTGTGGTAAAGCCAGGGTGAAGACTGGATACATCATCGGCTTGCTTTAGTCAAGAGATCTGAGTGCCACTGTGGCTCATTCTCTTAAGTAGTTATATACCTTACGTCAATCTGCTCAACCTCCCAAACTGCTGCGTTTATAAAATGAGGATCATAATACAGACCATAATACAATTCACAAGATGTTGTGAGGATAAAAAAATTAAACTGCATTACAATCAACGTCATTACCATGACAATCTCTGTATAACAATTCAGATTCTCTAGGCCCCTAATTTAATAACCATTTTAAATTCCAAAAGTTAAGTACGACACAAGGAAGCTGGTTAATCTATTAAAATATTCTCCACAAGAGGCTTTCCATTTATTTGTTTAATGCAGTTTCCCAAGCAGTCCTATCCGTTATAAATGTGTGAAAAAGGAAAGATCCCATAGCATGGTTTAGGTAAACTCAATTGAATAGGGTATTCAGTTTATTTACTATAATACTTCTCAAAATCTTAATATGCTAATGTCAGCTATAAAATTCCTAGAGAGAGACAGGATGTAGAGTCTCTCAACCTTTTTTCTTGGAGGAATAGCTCTTGGGACCATGGTTCCATGGGACCCACTGTAAAGTGCCATGCCAGCAAAAGTTATCTTATTGGTCCTCACAACAACTCTGTGAGAAAGACAAGGCAGGTATGAATCCCAGTTTAACTGAAGACAAAATAAATACCCAGAGTGATTTAGTGATCTGCCCAGGTTAGTAAAACCAGAGCCAGGGCATGAGAATAGGTCTTCTGATTTCTTTTCTTTTTTTTTCTTTTGAGACGGAGTCTTGCTCCATCACCCAGGCTGGAGTGCAATGGCACAATCTCAGCTCACTGCAACCTCTGCCTCCTAGGTTCATGTGATTCTCCTGTCTCAGCATTCTGAGTAGCTGGGATTACAGGTACATGCCACCATGCCCGGCTAATTTTTGTATTTTTTTTTTTTTTTTAGTAGAGATGGGGTATCACAATGTTGGCCAGGCTGGTCTTGAACTCCTGACCTCAGATGATCTGCCCACCTCGGGTTTACAGCGTGAGTCACTGCGCCCAGCCAGTCTTCTGATTTTTAATCTTTTTCTACTATAACAAGCTGCCTCATCACTGTCAAACGTTCATCAACAGATATTGCTCTATTAGTAATCTATTTTTAAAAGTAATAAGAAGCACCATATTAGATGAATAGAAAGGTAACTACACACAACTCCTTCTCAGGGTGGAAGCTTGTGTGTGTGTGTGTGTGTGTTTAAGACTCTAGAGAACTGAGGAATACCCAAGGGATTCTTAACCCACTAAGCACACCGCTGATACTGTTACTGTTATCATCATTTCTGTATTTCATTTGAAGAAGGGAATGACATAAACATTCTAATCAGGAACAAAACAAAAACTCCCCAGTGATGCCTATGCACCCATTCAGGAAGCAAAACTGCATGCCAAACAAAATATTCAGAACAACATACGCTAACCCTACCTACCTTAAGAAACTCCTTCAGGAGAATTTCAGAACTTTCTTCAAACTCTTCTTGAATTTGAACTTGGTAATCCATGTCCAGATAAGTAGGGTTGATCCAATCATACAAAATCTCATGCTTATGAAGAGGCAGCAGATGCAAAATGTGAGTTAATAATTCCTATTGCTTTTGCTCTTACATCATTTCACACTAATAAAATACATGCAAATCCTCACTTCATAAATTTCTCCTGTTAAAGTACTGGAAAACTCTGCTTGAGAAAGACACTATCAGGCCGGGCGCGGTGGCTCAAGCCTGGAATCCCAGCACTTTGGGAGGCCGAGACGGGCGGATCACGAGGTCAGGAGATCGAGACCATCCCGGCTAACACGGTGAAATCCCATCTCTACTAAAAAATACAAAAAACTAGCCGGGCGAAGTGGCGGGTGCCTGTAGTCCCAGCTACTCGGGAGGCTGAGGCAGGAGAATGGCTTGTACCCGAGAGGAGGAGCTTGCAGTGAGCTGAGATCCGGCCACTGCACTCCAGCCTGGGTGACAGAGCAAGACTCCGTCTCAAAAAAAAAAAAAAAAATACACTATCAAAAGTTTACTTAAGAAAAGTGGAGGCCCGGTGCGGTGGCTCACACCTGTAATCCCAGCACGTTGGGAGGCCAAGGTGGGTGGATCATTTGAGGTCAGGAGTTCGAGATCAGCCCGGCCAACATGGTGAAACCCTGTTTCTACTAAAAATACGAAAATTAGCCAGGCATGGTGGTGGGCACCTGTAATCCCAGCTACTCAGGAGGTTGAGGCAGGAGAATCGCTTGAATCTAGGAGGTGGAGGTTATAGTGAGCCAAGATCGCACCACTGTACTCCAGCCTGGAAAAAAAAAAAAAAAAAAAGGAAGAAAAAAAGAGAAGTGGAAAGGGGCGGGGCAAGCTCAAGGTACAGTTTCATTAAAAGGAACAGCTAATTTTAAAATCGGAGAAACAAATGATATGCTATAACTCCTAAGGTAAGGATATCAGCAATTCTTCTTACATCTTGTGGGATATGAGGGCTCCGAGGTATGGGGGGTTCAAAGTAGTTGGGAGGCCTAGTCAACGATGGACCATGAAACCAGCCACTTATAGACAAACGTGACTTTTCTTCAGACAGGACTTCAGACACCTGAAAGGACAAGCCCAGGAGCACATCAACACGAAGAATAAGGGGGATTACTGCCAATGCACATTAATTTCAGGGTCCTCCATGTTAAGCATTAAAACAACATCGGATAGCAAGTCTAACAGGAAGCTGTCATGTTTGGATAATGGGTGATTAAAAAGCATAATCCTTGGTACTCTATTTGTGGCTTACAATCTTTACCTGGTGAAAGGACACAGGAGATACTTCAAAGAAAACCAGTTTGTTCCACGAAGGGATAAGAGACTTCACAATCTGCTTCGGCTGAAAGTGTTCTGCACCAGGAGAGAACACATCCATAAATGTGGTTCATTACCATTAACCACCTCCAGGCTGCCTCATTTTACTCTTGACAATTTCCAAACTTCTGAGGGCATCTCGATGTGCCCTTCAGACCCTGAAATACTGCCCTTTCCATGTGTTTCACTCATACTTGCAAGTCTGACTACGTGGCATCTGTTCTTACTACACCATCCATCTATTATTGAGAAGGGCTGGAATAAGTTCTCAGAGTTTCCTGGAGTCAACTTCTGGTGCTAGACATTCAAAAAAACCTTGACTTTCTGTCAAATGGACTGGTCCTGGCAGATTCATAGCCACAGGCAGCTTTATATGTACTCTACCCTTCCACAATCAATATTCAGAAGCTCAGTCTGACTGTTTCTCATCTTAAATGGATTCTAATTGATCTCTGGAGTCATTTTCAAGTCTAACTTAAAGAGGTGGTTGTCAGGGCTGGCATTTATTCCCCTTGAGGTAGCCACTATAATAAATAGCTTCCACTTCCTTTGAGGAGTACAGACATTGTAGATAAGAACATGATACTGAATCAATTCAGCTTTAACTCAGAAGTGGCCACTGGTGGTGAAGTGCATGCACTTATACTTATCTTACCATCAATGCTGTACAGGTCCAGGGTACCACCCAGGCTCCTGTCCCAGGGAGGAACCAGGTATAGGATGAAGGCGATCCGGCGCCCTTCCAGCTCATCATCATGGCACAGCAGGGCATCTGCAATAGTTTAATGCACACCTTAGATCCCTGCAGACAGTGACCAGCTGACACCTGACTCTGCATTTAATATCAGTCCATCTGACATTCAACTGTAATGTCCGCTCCAGCTTTAAAGGTCTTCCAGCTTTAAAATGACACTTAATTCTCCTCTTTTATAAGTAAACAAATAAGTCAATACAGAAAATTCTAAAAACTCTAAAGAGCATATAATTAGATAGATCCAGATATAACCATGAACAATATTTTTACATATAATCTTCCAGTATTTTTCCTGCATATATGTATTTACTTTTTTAAAAGAGTAGCATCCAGCAGTGGCTATTTGTGGCCTGCTTTTTAAATTACATGGCAAGTATCTTTCCCTGTCAATATACACACTTGGCATCACTTTTAATGGCTGTAGTTATTCCACTATATGGATTATGAACTTACCTCCTTCCCCCCTTTAATAGATTTCCTATTTGTTAATTAAGTTGTTTCTGTTTCTTAGCTATTATAAAGACTAATTTAATGAACATTATTGTACATGGATCTTTTGCACTTGTTCCCATTAATTTCATGAGAGAAACTTCTAAAAGCCATGTCGTGGGGCTAGCAAGATAGGCATCTGTGCAGGCTGAGAGGGAGGGAAGGCTATGGTGAACTGCAACCAATTACACGTGGAGGAATTGTTGCAATAAATGAATAAATACATTGAAGATAATGGGAGCCAGGTTTTTCACTGTTCAAGAAGGGAGTTACAAATATGGAAATGCAGAAATCTAGAATGAACCCTGTGGTGTTCAATTGGAACTTGAGGAATCAATGTGAATTCAGTTTCCTATATCTATAGTTTTATATATCTGTATATAGAAATATAGGCTGGGTATGCCGGTGGCTCACGCCTGTGATCCCAGCACTTTGGGAGGCCAAGGCAGGTGGATCATCTGAGGTCAGGGGTTGGAGACCAGCCTGGCCAACACGGCAAAACCCCATCTCTACTAAAAATACAAAAATTAGCAGGGCATGGTAGTACATGCCTGCAATCCCAGCTACTCAGGAGGCTGAGGTAGGAGAATCGCTTGAACCCGGGAGGCAGACGTTGCAGTGAGCCAAGATCACACCACTGTATTCCAGCCTGGGCAACAGAGCGAGACCCAGTCTAAAAAAAAAAAAAAAAAAAGAAATACACTCCAACTGTAAATGTATGTGTGTGCATCCATGTGTGTATGTACATGCGTACAGATATTCACCACCTCTTCACACTGAAAGGGTCTGGGAGCAGTGACACCCTAATAGCAAAGACACTTAAGAGTCCAGATCTTGATTGTTAAGTATCATTCTTCACTAAAAAGAACCAGGATTCTTTGGAAGAATGGCCAACTCCAGGTCATTCTAGGACCTTGGCATGGAAAATCTTGTTTTGCAGAAAGTAAGAAAAAAAAAAAAAGAATGATGGGGACATAGCAAAAGGACACAGAAGTCAGTTTGAAGGGGCTCTCCTTGATAAATCAGGGACAGTATGAGCATCAATATAATGACAGTAACTGATAACATGCTCATTACACAAATAGCAATCCATAAATCCATACCAATATAAACAAATGAATGAATAAATATATCAGGAGAAATGTCTTCTCTAGAGTGGAATGACAATAAATGTAGAGAAATTATTGTTATAAAATCACCATCTGGCAACCTTCATGGTAATAATTTAGCAAGAAACATCAGAGAATGCTAAAATAAGCAAATCAAAATTTGATGAGAAATGGGATATTTACATAATCTTAAAGTATCTCCCCACAAAATACATACCGACAGAGAAAAAGAACAGTAGAAAAACCTGATGTCAGTCACCACGTTAATCAAGTGATCACAGTTAATATCACTAATAATGTGACACACTGAAACCATGCACCACCTGATACAGTGAGAAGAACACAGTATCAATTCTGTAATCCTGCTAAAAACATATAGCCTGAATCTAATCATGAGAAAACACCAGACAATCCCAAACCGAGGAAGGTTTTCCAAAATAACTCATCTGTAAGTCTTCTAAAGCATAAAGACCATGAAAGTCCAGGAAAGATGGAAGGGCTATTCTAGATTGAGGGACGCTGAAGAGACAATATTATAACTAAATGCAACATGCAATCCTGGACTGGGTCTTTTTGCTATAAAGGACCAAATAATGAAGCCTGCATGGAGCCTGGGGATTAGATAATCCATTGATGTTGAATAAGGCATCAACATTAATTTCCTGATTCTGATGGTTTATGATTATCATGTAGGAGAATGTCCTTGTAGAAATTACTGAAGTATTCAGGGGTCATAGAACATCATGCCAACAACTTACTCTCAAGTAAAACAGGAAAAAATAAATTATTTGTACTATGCTTGCCACTTTTCTGCAAGTCTGAAATTACTTCAAAGTAAAAAAAAAAAAAAAAAAGATACTGGCTGGGTATGGTGGCTCACACATGTAATCCCAGTACTTTGGGAGGGCAAGGCAGGTGGATCACTTGAGGTCAGGAGTTCAAGACCAGCCTAGTCAACTGGTAGAACTCCATCTCTACTAACAATACAAAAATTAGCCAGGCATTGTGGCATATGCCTGTAATCCCAGCTATGTAGGAGGCTGAGGCAGGAGAATCACTTGAACCCGGGAGATGGAGGATGCAGTGGGCTGAGATCGTGCCACTGCACTTCAGCCTGGGTGACAGAGGGAGACTCCGTCTCAAAACAAACCAACAAACGAAAAAAACAAAAAACAAAAAACAAAAAACAAAACATGACAGTAAATGAAGATATCCTATGATCCTATGTATCACCAAGTCATCCTCTAAAAGTTGTGAGCCATCTATACTTCCAGGACAGTGTATGAGAGCACACTCAAATGATTATTTTATTTAGTAAAATTTAAAAAAGAAAAAAACCTTTTCCTTCTGGGTGAAAAACCAAGCTTGTATCCAAAAAAAAAAAAACCAAAACATTTATATGCTCAGAAAGGGAAATGGAAGGATGCACCTCAAACTGGTGACAATGGGTACCTCTGAAGAGAAGAGGGAGCAGGGAGAAGGTGAAGAAGGCTATCATGGTTTTACACTATATACCTACAATATTGATTTTTTTTTTTCCTTTAAGAATGCTTTCACTTATTGCCTTCAAAATAAAAAAGAGAAGGGAAAATAGCATTGAAGGAGATGGTTGTTCCTTAGGAAGTCTAAGAATAGAGTTTATATATCACTCTGAATTTCTTGATATTTTATGTACAGTTGGTGTGCATGTATGTCATGGGGATTTTGCTGAAAATATGGTCAGTAGCTTTCATCATATTCTGAAAGACAACCACTGCTTATGCCTTCCAATAAGGTAGGTATTTCTGTCTATGAACTGGGTCTTTATCAGGAAGATCCGGATGCTTTGCAGGGACATTCAGTTGAATGTTTTGGTGCACAGATACCATCTCTCCATTCATGTTGAATTAAAGCCTTTAAATCTTATAGACACTAGGTCTTTATCTTCCTTACCGGTGAATTCATATTTAGCACAGGACATGTCAATGGTTGATTCCAGGTCAATTTTAGAAATATCAGAAAGCCAGGACCGGAAATCTTCAAACAGAATTTTCCTAGAAATGTAAACAAAAGATAATTTGTTATGCCACAGTGTGGGATCTAGGCCACAACGATTTGGATCTAGGCCACAACTTTTCTTTCCTGGAGATCACATTGTATTCAAGAGATCCATTCTCAGATCTCATCTGAGACATTCTGAGAAATGTTTCTCAGTTCAAATTTGCATAGTTTAAGTTTAATGTTCCCAGAAAAATAAATGTAAATCTCTATCTACATTGTTTTTGTTAGTTTTTGTTCTAATGGTTCATGTTTTCTCAGTATTTTCTTTCTCCTAAATTTAAAGTATGCCCTATCAAGGCAGCAGTTTGGCCTTTGTCATAACAACCCATCACACCAATGTTCTAGTCCAAGTTACTGGTTTTCAGACAAGTTTTTCAGCACTAAAATGGAAAGCTCAACTGTTTATATTTTCTTTTCTTTCTTCTTCTTTTTTTTTTTTTTGAGATAGAGTCCTGCTCTGTTGCCCAGGTTGGGGTACAGTGGTATGATCTCGGCTCATTGCAACCTCTGCCTCCTGGGTTCAAGCGATTTTCCTGCCTCAGTCTCCCGAGTAGCTGGGACTACAGGCGTGCACCACCACGCCTGGCTAATTTTTATATTTTTAGTAGAGATGGGGTTTTGCCCATGTTGGCCAGGCTGGTCTCCAACTCCTGACCTCAAGTGATCCGCACGGCTCTGCCTCCGAAAGTGCTGGGATTACAGGCGTGAACCACTGCATCTGGCCTCAACTGTTTTTCTTTACACACTTTACTTCACTTCCAATGCCAAATGTGTGGGCTTATCCCCCTACACTGTCCAATTCTCTGACACCAGCTGAGCGTCTTAAAATTCAATTCAATTCTGACACTTTCTACCAGGGGTTAATAAAGGTTAAGGGCTTAGTCCCATGAGACTGCCCCCAGTGTGCCCCCTCCCCCAACCCCACTTCAGATACTGATTACAAGTTCAAGTTGTGACCCATATGCTTCTAACCAAATAGTTATAAACTGGAGGTTCACATTACTGCCTCCTTAGGTTTGATAATTTGCTAGAATAGCTCACAGAACTCAGAATAAGTTTATTTACTAGATTACCAGTTTATTATAAAAGGATACAACTGAGAAACAGTCAGACAGAAGGGACGTATAGGGTGAGGTATGCGGAAGGGGTGTGGAGTTTCCACACCATGTCCTCCCCAGGTACACCACCCTCCCAGCACTTCCATGGGTTCAGCAATCCTGAACTCCTTTGGTTAGGGTTTTTGATGGAGGCTTCATTACGAAGGAATCATTGATTAGGTGACTGGCTATTGGTGATTGACTCAACCTCCAACCCCTCTTCCCTTGCAGGAGGTCAGAGAGGTCTGTGCCAGGAATAGAGACCAAGACCAAATATACATTTATTATAAATCACAAGCACTAATACTGGTACCACCATTTAATGAACACTTGGGTGGCACTGTTTTAGAAGATTAAAACAACTTTAAATGGCAATAATGATGAGTGTTGAATTAAATGCATAATAATGAGTATAATTTTTCATAGAAGTTCTGATGCTAACAGGATACCAATAGAAAATGGTGAACGCTTCCATTTACCAGCTAAACTGGCTCTCCATGTAGAAATCTCTTAACACAATTTATAACTCACTCAGCCAATCAACTTTGAAATTATGAATTATTACTAACCTTGAGGAATTAAAAACATTTTTAAAAGATTTACATTAGTTCAAATTACGCTTACAAAGATACTTAATATTTTTTTGGATCATCCTACTTCAAATGCACATAACTGAAATTCCCGTAAAATAGAACTGTCCTGTTTATAACTAAATATCAAATCTCCAGGTTGATCTCTAAGATTTCATTACGAAATACCTTTTTGTATTATATACTACTCAAACCAAAAAATTCCATTATCAGCTGTGAATAAGCTTAAAGAACATTCCATAAAATAATTGTGCTCAGTCAGCCCATATAACTTTTAAAGGCAGAGTTGCAAATCATATAAAATGGGTCAGGATAGCAAACTGCTGAACCAGGCTTCAGATAATGTGAGTGAGAAGTATTTCTTCAAGTCGTGATACTTTAAGCAACTAATAGTCTTAAATCCTTTACTGGTAACATCAGCTTTCACAAATTCCAGAAAAAGCTCTTCTACTCATTCTATGAAAGTGTCACAAGGTCGGGCTTATTTTCTGTCATTGTTAGCATTTGTTAATTATATTCATGAAGGAACTCACAGAACCCAAGTGGGAAATAAAAAGATCAGCTCTCTGTAATGATTAAGGAGTTGCAGCTTGCTCACCATCTGGCTGTAAGCCTTCAGTGTGGAATGTAACTCAGTCCCACATGAAATGCTTAGCAGAGGGGTGTTGTGAACTAAGGAGATAACGCCTTAATGCATGATAATCTTTCTTTAGGGGGAAAAAATTCTAAGTAAATATGAAACATAATGTGTTACAGTTAACACACAAGCAATACTTCAGGATTTAGAATAAACTGTGCAAGCTGCCTATAATACATGGAAGTATTGCAGAGAAAAAATATATAATGAGAATAATTTGTATCATATAGATGAAAAACAGCTATTACAAAGCAACATATACTTATTATAGAAACTAGGAAAAAATCCCATGTAAGCAAAAAACTGTTAGAAAAATCTGTATTCCTACTAGCAAGAGTTAAATACTCTATTTTTCCAAATCTTTTACTTTGTACACACAGACACCCAAATGTAGGTGTGTGTATCTCTTTTTAAAATAAGATCATGTGATGTGAATCCACTGGTCAGAAAAAACAACAAAGCATCAAATTGTGTGTATTATTTTTTTTCTCTTGACAAAAATGTGTTAAGTATCATTATTTTATATATTACTAAGAAAAAAAATGCTGTCAATTAAAGTAGGACACAAAAGTGATTGTGTGAGACACTAGATCCCAGAGGTGTTAAAATGTTAAAAGTTTCTTAGAATTGAGAAAATAGATAACTACCACATTCATGTGTCAAAACTCATATGTATCATATGTAATGGTTGTATAGTTTCCACTTTATGTTTTGTACTATTATGTTTAAATCTCCATGGGCCATAAAATTTGTATATAATTTTTCAATATTATACACAATATTACAATAAATAATCTTGTATGGAATCTTTGAGCATATCCTTATTTTCTCAGGATAACTCCTTTTTTTTTTTTTTTTTTTGCATCCAGCGGGCGACAGAGCGAGACTCCGTCTCAAAAAACAAAAAATAAAAAAATAAAAAACCATCTTCCGGGCGCGGTGTCAAGCTGTAATCCCAGGCACTTTGGGAGGCTGAGAACCAGGTGGATCACGAGGTTCCGGAGATCGAGACCATGCCTGGCTAAACCGGTTGAAACCCCGTCGCTACTTAAAAAAAAAAAAAAACATAGCTGTGATGTGTGGGTGGCGGGGGCGGTCGCCTGTGAGTCCCGCTGCTCAGAGCTGAGGGAGGAAGAATGGCATAAACCCGAGGCGTGAGCTTGCAGGAGCTGCATCCGGCCACTGCACATCCG